GTGCTTCCTTTAAATCTAGGTGATTTCCCCTTGACTGAAATTCCCATCTAGTCCTACTTTCCATCGCCTCAGAGTGTATGTATTAATTTACATTTATTATGGCTGCCCACTCCAGAAGACCCTGGGCGGCTTATAATATCTAAATATACAATTAAGACAGTTAAAAACACGAAACTGCTGCTTTTTGCATCTTCAGGACTTCAGAGCAATTCCTGATGTTCTTGAAAATTAAGGGTATATGCTCAAAATTGTACCATGGAAATTGGTTGGCTTTACTTTTCTGCATTAGCTGGACTTGGAGCTTGCACATGAGCAGTGCATGCTCTGTTCCATAATCAGCCCACATCTTTGCTATTTCACCTCCCTGTATCAATAATATAGTTGATTTGATTTTTGTGTGACACCCAAGTATATAGGTTATATGCATGTATATAGGTGTTGCTTTGGTTGTTGGAAGATTATGTTAGCAATGAAGAAATCATTGGAATCACTGGCAGAAATAGACAGGTTGTTCTCCTGCTTCATTTCTGTTTCCTGGGCCATTTAGTCTAGCTGTGTTTTTCTCCTTAATATTTCCAACTTTGGCAATACAGTCTCCAACCATAAAAAGCACATCTTGCTTGCATGTTCTGCCAATTTCAGATTGAACTTGACCACAAAACCCATCAACCTCCTCTTCAGCATCAGTGGTAGGAGCATCAACTTAGATTATTGTCTTATTAAAAGATTGTCTGCAAAGTCTAATTGATATTATTCAGCCATTGATGTCATTGGACCCAAGTACTGTCCTTGCTATATCCTTTCTGACTATGAAAGCAATGCTTTCTTCTTTGTTTTTATGTGCTGAGTAGTAAACAATATGATCTTCTGGCTGAAAGTGTTCAATTCCATTCCATTCCAATTTGCTAATGCCTAAGATGTCAATGTATAGACAATGCATTTCATCTTCCACTATGTTGAGCTTTCCCATATTCATGCTTCCTTTGTTTCATTTTACCGCTGTAATTCTGTCTTTACAGCCTCAGATTTTCTTTTCCTGCATGGCCACATCAGCAACTAGCAATCCGGAAAATTTTAATCTAGCTGTGTCCTAAATGCCATTAGTGCTCCAAAAGATCCTCAGTCTTCCTGAATAGCATGAGTGCTATCTGACCTGAGGGGCATCATTCAGCACTATTATCATCAATACTTCATGGCTTTTTGGTAAAATATAGGAGTGGTTTACCATTGCTTTCTCCTATGCCAGTGTTGTCCAAACTTGGCCACTTTAAGATGAGTGGACTTCAACTCCC